AAAACGCATGAAGGAGCAAATTTCTGAGCTCCGTTTGCACGCCATAGTTAGACGATTACGTCACCGTATGGAATACGGTAAACTAAGGCGCCAAGTTGGTCTCATGACGTGTGTTCGTGTGCACGCGTATGTGTGCATCGTGCTGAATTCGCCATTTCCATCAAAAAGGACCTACCGACAAGGAAGCAGACCGCTTCAAAGAGGAACCTTAGGAGAGCGCTTGCCTTACCTTCCTACCGATGAAACAAACTGCTGACGGTTGGTCAAAGTCTCGAACCGGCTTTTCCCCTTCATATTTCATTGCTCATAGTCAGTACAGTCTCAGGGTTAGAGAAAGAAGGGTGGGTTACGAATAGGTCTTCCAAAAGCTTCAGAGTATTCTCCAGTGGTAAACAGGAAGCACTTTCTATTTCCTGTCAGATGCGGGAAAGGCGGCTTCTTTTAAGGCCCAAATACCATAACCATCAGCTGAATCAATAACAAATACCTAAACAAATGTAAATATCCACCCCCGCCGAATCCGATGAAATGGTTGCTTTTCAAGAGAGCAAGGAACACTAAATCTGCAAAGGGAATCCGAAAAGGAAAGGAAAAGATGAAAATCGTTCTCATTAGAAACACGTTTTCTTCCCTCCGGAAAAATGCTCAGGATTTCAACATCTGTTGGCCTGAATTAGATGAGTTCAATGATTTTTCATTGCTTTGTTTTTATCTAATTCATTTTGTGAATTTTTGCGAATCACTGAACCTTAACAGAAAAAATCTACAAAAATCCCCTTGCTTTGCTTTTGCAAAAGTCAGTGTAAGAATCATCTAGAATGGATAATATTTTACTGACAATAAAATAATTGAACAATCAAAAATAGCCGAGTAAGCGAAAAATAACACATCCAGTTCGATATACCAGGCTAGAACCGAAATCGGACTTTTTACCGTGAGCAATAGGACCACGATGAACTATCATATAAAAAAGTTGCAAAAAATATATACGCATGGGTAGGAGGAGGAAGTGTTGAGGTAAGTGACGCCACTTCCCATGCGCACGGTTCAGGAGTCATATCTCGGATCGAATCTCGCCCAGACCAATCAAGCCCTCCATACCTTCACTGTCATCCCATTGGTATCAGAATTGTTCGGAAGGATAGAAACATTTTCTTTCGGTTTGCCTCCGATGTTGCTGCATTGGCCATTGCCCATTCAATTGCCTTTGCAATTGTGATGGAGGTAGAATGCGTGGCGCACCTCCAAATGAAGTTAAACAGTACCTTCTAGGCCGAAAACTATCGCCCTTCTACCACCCAAACGATCCCATAACTTTTGCGAATGTTTAGGCGAACTGTGGCCAAAAACAGCAGCTACCAAACAAAAACAAGTCCAGATCTCATAACTATCAAAACTAAGCGGTAGCCCAACGCAGAGGTGCTGAGCTGAGGAGCATGACACATAATCCTCAATTCTACTCCCTTTTTCAGATTTACTAGATATTCCTTCTCTTCGAAATTTGGCACTAAGTTCCTCAAATGAAGTAAAGGCCATCGGCTTGTCCTT